CACTTTGAAATTGTTGTTAATGTTTAAAATGCAATCTGAAGTGCATATGTTATTTAAAAAAAAACCATAAATTAAAAATTTTAAAAGTTTATGAAAAAAACCTAGCAATCATTGCTTAGCAAAGCATTTGCAGAGAAATGTGTATCTTTGGGTTTTGAGGATATGCATAGTTTTCTAGCATGAAAGCTGAATGTGTTATTCTTTTTTTTTTTTTTTTTCCTGTTTAAAACTGAGTAGATCTGAAGGAAAGAGGGTTCCTTCTGGGTGCCTGTAATAAAGTACCAAACCCGACAGGCACGTGAAGGTAGCGAAAGCCTTTTGGATTGTCACTGAAAATAGAAAAGGTGAACGTTGACAAGATTTCAGATATTTTTTTTCCTGGGGACTGAGGGAAACTGAAGTTAAAAATAAAGCTCTCGTATGGTCAACATGTTGGAGGAAATTCAAAGACTCACATAAAATAAACATATTTCAAGAAGTGTTTTGAATTTCACTGTGTAATTTCTGGCCAACAGAAATTACAGTTGTATCTTTGGAGAGACATTATGTCAGATCAATGGTCATTATGCAAAAAAAATAAACTGAAAACTTGATGCCTTAACCCGTTCAGTTATTAAAATGCAAACACGAAGAGGATAGCTGTTCTTTAGATTCGCTACTAGAAAACTTTGCACCACTGTGTCGCAATTAGAAAATATCTGGGTTTGATGTTCCAGGAGACACGTAAATTGTTCCTTGAAAAGACACAAGCACGAAGCGTCGCTCGCTTCGGCAAAGGAATCCCGTCAGTAGTTATTGAAATACACAACAGTTTATGCCCCGAAAAATAAAGGAAATTATCTGAAGCGCATGCATGAGCTAAAATATCCCAGCCCAAAGCAGAGTTGTTCCTAGCCTACATTTAACTGTAACCTTTGGAGTCTTAAAGCCGAAGGAGAATGCCGTGTCCTGGCAGGTAGCGGTGGTTGCGTGCGTCTGCGTACGCGGGCGCACGTATCCAAGCGTGCGCACGGATGCCCGGGCTCTTCTGCAGCGTTATTAAGAAAAGCCGTCCATACTTCACCATGTTGTTACATGTGTCTGTCTGCTGATTATAAAATGTGTTAAACAGTATTTAAAAAACAAAAAAATGCAGAGCTGCGCTTTGATTTATTCAGCGAACAAAACATATGCTCGCTGTTCTGTTCTATGTAATTCATATGATCAATAAAATTTTCTTTAAAAAGAGCAACTTTGGCATTTAGAAGGATTATGCTGCTGAAGAAAAAAATGTTTCGCTCTTGCTATATGTAGTCAACCTCAACGCTCTTGCACCAGAAGAAGTTTTTGCCTCGCTAACGTCGATTCTTGTGTATTTATTATTTCTAATCTTCAGGGTGGAAGCGGTATATTGCGGCTGTTACCCGCTGTGTCCCAAAGCCTTGGTGTACCCAGAGATATTTCCAGGTAGCTGCTTTGTTGCACATTCTGTTTTTTGCTGAAACGTAATAACGCGATTCGTGCTAAAATACAAAGTTTTGAGAATAAACTTGAGCGAAAGCAATTGTTTATTTGGCAAGCCAACATGTTAGTGTTAAGGCAAATTTTATGTGTTTTAATACATTAGACGAAGTTTATATTTGCCATCTGTTCTTTTAAGATAACACAAAAGCAAGTTTTGAAATAGCATTCTTCATTGTTAGCATACACAACCCGTAATGATAGATTTTTGTTAAAAGGTCAGTGATGCTGCAACGGTTTGCAGATTTTTTTGATACACAGCAAAAAAAAAAAAACCAACAAGGGCTGCAAATCACACCAAATTATTTAAACAATTTAATACTTAATAGTATGCAACTGCGGTACAGGATACACACTAATGTAGTACCAGTTCTTTGAAAAATCTCATCACTAAATGTATCACATATGCATTGTGTTACATTAGAATAATGTATTTTAATCACCCAAAGGAGATGTCTAAACAGCACAACTACACAGTCTTATTTAGCATTAAACATCCTTGTGAGCTGAGGTAACCTTATAAAATCATGCTTAAATAATGTAAAACACGAGGCGGCACAGAGCAATATGCATTTTTAATTAGTAAAGTGACTAATATCGAGTGTGTGCTTTGAGGTTTTTGTTTCATTAAAAATGTATCTGTTTTTCCTGCAGCTGAATATCTGTATTCTACACCTGAACAGCTCTTTAAAAGGCTTCAGAATTTCTGCAAGAGACCAGATATTGTAAGGAAACATCTCTATAAGGTAGTTGTTCAGAATAGTTTTACGTGATATAATGCCATCTTGAAGTACAAAGGGAAAAAACCCTTAAAAAAAACAACATTTAATTAACATACTAATGTTTAAAGGAAACATGCTAGGGAGGGATATTAGTCGTTACACTAACAAGGATTAATTAAACTAGATGCCAGTTGTATTAACCTAGGTCTTATGAAATACGTGCACTTAATGCATGCTACATGCTTTTTTTTAATTTATTGTTTTCTAAAATGACTGTCCTTTACATTTGGACCCAAGAGGCTTATAAAAATGAACCTGGATTAATGCAACTCATTAGTTTAAAAGGAAAATAAAAGAAAGATCCTACAATTATACTAATGAGCATAAGCCTACCTTCCTATCCTAATTTAATCTTCAGTCCTCAAAAAATGCAGGTGACAGGTATCAGGTAAGATTTCTCTGCCTTTTGGAATTGTTTGCATTATTTTCGTAATTATGATTATTTTAACTCTTTGCTTTTTGACGAACGTTGAACATAAAAAAAGTTTATCGGAAGCATGATTTCCTGGGTTTTATCATGTCCTATTCTTTGCGGTTACTTGTGTAGAGAAAGTACAGTTTCAGTGGCAGACCTTCCATTCAAGTTTTGATCAAGTGTTCAATGCTAGACCGACTTTCACATTTTTAAGAGGTGTATTTATACTCCTAGGAGTCACACTTCTTTTTTCTTTTTTTTTTTTTTAGTTACACGACTGTAGATGAAGCACTAAATTTTATATTATTCCAGTGCAGAGCTATCATGACACGATGCTGCTTTTAGAAAAATAACTGCTATTTTCTGCATGCCAATACGTGAACTTACGGCGTTTTCTGACTTTTACAGTCCTGGCTGTGCCGTGGGCAGGTTGGGTGCACGTTACCCCGGCACGACAAAGGTGTTTCAGGCTGTGAGAAACCTGAATTCAGCTGAAAGTCCTTAAAGGCTTGGGAGCGCGTGGAGATGCTCCTCGTGTTGGCCGTGCGGAACAGATGCGGTCTTTTCAGCGCTCCTTGGCTGTCGCCGTCCAGGCACACTTGTTAACGAGCAAGTCGAGTAATCTCCTCCTTAATTTGGAGGCTCACGCTGCCAGCAGACCTAACCTCATCCTCTCCACCTTCCTTCCTCTGGGGACCCGAAAGCGCTGGCTCTTGCTGCGCGCCGCCTGCCCCTCTGCCCCTTCCCGCGCACGTGTAGCAGGAGGAGCGAGGGTTTAGCCCACGCCTGACTTTTTTTTTGGGGGGGGACGGACACCTAAAAATAGACATTTACATAACGATACATCAAAGACGATGCTGTTTCTGCAGGAAACGGTTAAACTTCAAGAAGAAAGGAGAGAACCAAAAATGCAATTTAACACCCAATTTCAAGCTCATTATCTTTCATTGTCTATTAACTTGGCAATGGTTCAGAAGGTAGCTCATAATAGTTTAAAATGCTGACTGAACACTTCCAGTGTTCAGCATTACTTCTTGAGTCAATAGTATCGTGTAGTTATACGTGGTGGCTTCAAAGGGAAAACAGCCCTTAAACGTTTACCTTGACATTTCCCAGAGCTTCAGGTTCAGCTCACAGTTGCGTTCACGTGGATCTTCTCTCCAGGCGTGGATCCCCAGCTCCTAAACGGAGCCAAGGCGCGCTAAAAATGGAGAGAACGGGAGAGCAAATACTGATATCAAATAGCACGGGTTGGAAATGTGCGCGCCAGCCCCATCAGCAAAAGGCTGATTTTCTTTTATTAAAAGAATCCCTTGGGATGATTTGCAGGCGGAAGCTGGAGGTGTTTACCCTACCCCCGTACACGTGCCGTATTAACAGCGCGGCCCCGTTCAGATCTTCCGAGCGTTCGGGCCGAGCGTCTGCAACAGGTAGCAGTTGAGCTGCGTGGGGGATCGTTTTAAAATGAGTAAAGCAGAGCCTAATCCAGAACCTGTGAGCACCAGCGCAAAGATCCCTGTTGTCTTTAATAGGCTTTGGATCAGCTTGGAGAATACTGTTAGAGTTGCCTTTTTGTACCTACGCCCACGTATGTCAAGTCTTCCTTTTGCAATGAAACGATCCACAAAACCTCCGAGGAAGACGCTAACTTAGATATGTGCTGTTAATGTCATTATAGTTGGAACGGTGCTGCTTTTTAGGAAGCTGAAAAGAAAGAAATCGTGAAGGGTACTCAGCACTTCCACTGTGTTTTCACTTTTTTCAGATCGGTGTAATACTATATATACTATAGTGGAATCGAAAAGGCACCCCTAGCACAGTAGTGCATCCTAAGGAGCTATTTTTCTTTCCGAAACCTTCCTGACATGCTCCCTGCCTGAAGTTTGTAGAGTAGCTGTGAAGTCTTGGAAGTAAAACTGCTTTAAAAGCAAATAGTGCTTTTCTTTACTGGTTGGGGATTCTGCTTCGCAGATTGGGAAGTAATCATCATCACAAGTATCTTGGCTTATCCTTTTACATATTGTTGGGTTTTTATCACCAAGGATATCCATAATAATTAGACAGCAGCCTAATTAAACAGGCGGTTTATTCCTTCCTTTGTCCTCGCTGCTTGTGCTGACAAAGTTAGGGGCAAAAGGGAGATAAACGGCAGCGGGGCAGTCAGGTTAGGGAGCCGGACACAGTGAATGTCCCTGGGAAAATGTGCAGACCAAGGCATTAAACTGCAATAGCTTAGCTCGACGGAGCCGATTC